CATGAAATAATTCCACGCCCTGATTGTGTAATGGAGTCATTATTGTAATTTAAAAGCGAGATCCACGAGATAATGGCTTCTCTAAATATCAAAGAAAAAAAACCACTTTTGTGTAACAGTCTACGTTTAAAGACTTTTTTTTAATCCTCAAATAAACAAAATTGAAATAAAAAACTGACCGGTTTCTCACAATTCAGGTTGCTGGCTGCATCAATGGATAATGGACCTAACTGTTGAAGCAAAGCAAACACCATTGGTAAAAAATATTTAAATATTATTTTTTTTCAAATATTTTGAATATATGTGGTTTCTGTCAGTTTGCCGCTAGAGAAATATGTTTGAAACCAAATCTCACAGCTCCCGTTTCCACTACGTTTTCAAAAAGTTAGAGCTTTATATCACTAAATTTATTGACGTTAATCCGTATAAATTAATACCTTTAATTACATTAAAAACAACAGCTATTCGATCTGGAAAGGCATAATGTTTTATTTATTTATATGATCTATTTCTAGAGATCATCAAATCATCAAATCCTTCCTCTAATAACTCATTTACTTTTCTAACATTATAGTATATTATATAGCACAGTATTCTTAAAATAAAATCCGTTCAAGGCATTTTCAATTGCACATAGAAAAATCAATCTTTACTCATAGCTCTTGGCAACGTTAACGGTAACATTCCAAGTTTTTTTATTTTTGAATAAATACGTCCTAATCATACTAATAGTCATGCACAGCACCTCAGAAGAACAGCCAATTTTTCAGATTGCGTTGGTTACTAATAAATCACATTAGGATTGTCTTTATTCCAATTGTGATAATTATTTATTAACAAAGCTACTGAGATTGAAGTGCAGTTTGTAAACATTTTTACTAAATATTTTTTGGATACACACATTAATAATTTATAAACGCTATTCGGCCATAAGTCTGCATAGAGGTTTAAATGAAAATATTATGTCGAGAGAACACCCTCCTTAATACTCGTATATCTATATTAAGTTGCGACCAAAGTATTTGATTTGTGATTACTCTTGATTACTCTTTCTCAACTACTTACTGGGATCAATCATTCCAATTTATAGAAATATGCCTTGAAGATTAAAAAGATTTCACGACATACAAGTATCGTATTATAAACTCAATATACAAGCCGCAAAAGAACAGACTTATCAATGTAAGAGCAGATAGAGAAAAATTTAGAGTATATAACCAGAAACCTGAAGCCAAAGGTCTATGAAAATAAAACTGTACGACAGGCTAATACGTTCTTCTATGTACTGGTACCAAGAATCATGATGACGAAACGCTGAATTTGACCCTCGCAAGCAATAAGGCTGTCAGCCTTATTTTTTATGACAATATTCTTAATCTCCATTTTATTGCCAAAACTTTGAACTGAGTAATATAGTATTGTGTAACCAAAGAATGCAAAGGCTAGGAGAAATGCTAGATTCTTGTTCTTGGATCTGGTACTAAATATACATTAAGACTGAAAAGTTTTCGGAAATTCTCATTTAAAATTCGCGCGCTGTATATTTTTCGATATTTTAAGTTTATGTAGTTTGGCAGCACTGTCCTTAATTACTATGCCAAAAATGAGCGCGATCTGTCAGACAGTTCGTTTACGGCAGCTGTTGAAACCAGTTCCCCTCAGTAGTGCGTTGCGAAATGTCTTCGACGGTCGTACGACCGTCCTGAAAGGCTTTGTACCACTCATAAACTTGAGTTTTCGATAAAACTGATTCCCCATAAGCCTTTTGTAGCATTCGCAACGATTCTGCACACGAAATTTCGTTCGAAACACAAAATTTGATGCAAACTCTTTGTCCAATATTTTTTTCCATTGTTTTTTTCGCAACGCACTACTGAGGTGAACTGGTTTCAACAGCTGCCGTAAACGAACTGTCTGACAGATCGCGCTCATTTTTGTCATATTAATTGTCCTTAATTGCTGCCAAACTACATAAACTTAAAATATCGAAAAATATACAGCGCGCGAATTTTAAATGAGAATTTCCGAAAACTTTTCGGTCTTAATGTATAATGTCCAGGCAGTAATTTGTAATCATTACATATTTTATAATTACATAAATAACTATTTATGTGATGAGTGTTCTTCCTATCCAACTTGTGACCGAGTCTAAAAAAATATCCACCTCTAGTATAATTAATATTATAAAGGCTTGTGTGACACTTAGTAATCAGTCTTGTAGTTGTTAGTGACCTCCTTGTAACTTATAAGTCATTTTAGGTGAATCAGTAAATATCAAGAAATTTCATTCAAATATGTGTGATATTTTGATACAAACTAAAATTTGCTACAAACACCAGCTAGGTCTGGTAAGTTAATTCTCTACATCTTAAGAATCCACATACGCTTTTTAAGCTCATTGCGTTGTAGTATTAAACACAAAGGATTTAAAACCATTTTAAACATTTAGATGCGTCTTAAGTGCAGAGACTACTACTGACTAAGATCCTTTTGGAAAAAAGTCATTAGCAAAGATAAAAAAGCACAAATATTTTGAAACAGTTTAACTGTCTGACAGTATAAATATAAGAACTTTTAGATAAAATAAATTAAAAACATAAAATAAATAAAAATCAAAAGGAATCACCTTAAAAATACGCGTACTCCTAATGGTGAATGAATTGAACTTTAATATAGCATTTCATTATTTGAAGCAATAAATATATGCCAATACTTTGGAAATTGTCTCAAATAGTTATGATACTCAATCGTGGCAAACCAAGCAATGATGTCGCATTGGATAGACTCATTTCGTTGCAGTGTTTATATTAAAGTTGCATGAAAAGCTATTTTAAACTTTTGTCTATTGTTATAGATATACCTATATATGGTTTCAGCTCATAACAGTTTGAAAAAATGCTGAGGCTATAGATGGAGCATTCGATTATGACCTCTAATATCATATCTTAAAAGAATGCGTTTCCGTGTTAAATATCACAATGCTTATTCATTATTACTAGAAATAAAGTCAGATGTACCATACAAAAACACTGTTAATCCATTATTTTAGGGCCTACAATAAGTGATATATTTGTTGAAGGCGATGGCAAAATAATAACTTTTACAGATGATAAAACCTTTTCCTTCCAACCTATAAACGATTCAAAATGGTTTTAAATGAACCTCAAAATTTTTTTTACACATTTAAACCGTTAATAAAAGTGTTTATTTTTACCGAATATTTCATAGGGTTTAGCTCTTTTAATCGCGAAATGAGTTTCTAAAAATACTACAATGACCTACTAGTTGGAAAAATAATTTTTGGCAGACGTGTGCAGAGAATGCACAACCGCCCCATCATGTTTACAAGTTTTGTACCCCTTTTGTAAGTATCAAGGTACTAATATTGAAATACATTACTATTAATATAGTCTTCCTTTGTAGACTTCACAGTCTTCCTTTATAAATAGAACAATTATGATGAAGTTGTGGAGATATAATACCACAATTGATATTGTTGGCAACAACTGGTTTATAAATTACAATAGTATTAGAATCATGTGTATGGCTATTTAAAACCTCTCAAGCTCTTAAAGTTGTAGAGATAACTAAAGGCTTATCAATTTATATAAGTTATGTGTACTTTCCAATTTAATTTAGTGTCGCATATAAGTACCTGGTATTTGACCTACTGCGAAAAGATAAGAGGTGGTGTTTGTTGCTTCTTATATTTAGATAAGATTAATAATATTGAGCTTATTTAAAATGTTCCGCAGTAATTGTGGGATAAATGGTAAAATCCGAGTTAACATGTAAATATGTTTCAACTAACTGAACGAGCTACTGTTGTTGTTGTTGTAACCCGCCGGGACCTGCTTGTGAAGTCCCTTTGGGGGTGGTCGAACGGCACTTGGTTGTCTTTGACGAGTGGCTCCGGGACGTAGACCCGGCCGTTCTTGGAACGAGCTACTTGTCAACCATTGTTAAGTATAACTATTTCTAATACATTGCGTTTTCGGTCTACCAAGGATGTTTTTATTTGTATACAAAACAATTTTTGGTTTTGTAATTATAGTGGAGTCTGGTTTCTCAGAATTAAATACGCGCTAAAAGATATAGAGCTTACGCTTAGCTTCTGTTTGAGGACAGGCTTAATTAATCGAGATTTCTTAAATTTTACTTTTGTTTTTTTTCGTTAGATTTAGTGTTAATGTATACTAAGTTTAAATGTATAGAATTAACACTCATCTCACATACATGATATACATGATATAGTTTGCCTATAATCAAATAGAAGCAAAGCAATTGATTGGTCTAGATCTCATCTCGCCATTCAATAAAGTTGTTGAACTAATAGAACGGAGCGTCTTTAAATGATTATTTTTTAAATTTTGAGTCCAAGCTTCGTTTAAAAAAAAACAAAAATGCTACTTATCTCCTCTGATATTCGCTGGAAAATGTGGGTAATAAAAGTTCTCAGTTCTTGAATTATCTATCTAACAATGTATGCATTAATTGCCTGCATCATTAAAGTGACACAAAGTTTTCTCAACTTTTAATAGGGACCTCCATATTTAAAATTCCTTTAATCAAATAGTGCCTTAAATATTTTCCATAGCATCAGAAACAGTCCACTTCTTAACGTGTAAGTAGGGACATCTTTGACATCTACCTATATATTATAACTACACATCATGATATTGAAGTGAAAAAAATTTTAAATATATATATACATATTGATTATAAGTAACAGCAACAAACATATCATTTATCATTTTCGTACTCATAAATAATATAAATAAATGTTTTCTTTTCATATGTTACTACATATATATACTACATATGTTACGATCACTTAATACCCTCTATTCAATTTTGATCTTTCTTGGCATGTTATCAGTTTACACATTCTTACAAACTTTCACAAACTTTATTCTTACGTTAGAATGAATATTTTTAAGTCATAAAGTAAATAATACAATTTTTTTAAATTTAGTTTGCAGTTTTATTACATTCTACAAAATATTTCTAAACATAAGCAAATGTATTCTAAGGTGGGATCAATAAAATTAAAGTTTATTATTGTACTATTAAAAAATAATATAATTTAATAGATGCTCGAAATCAATGTTTAAGTATTGATCCATTAAATTTATTTTTCAGCTTTGGCATTTATTTTCGTTCTTATTTTAGTACTTTTAAGTGGCACTTCTTCTTCAATATTAATGCTATCTAATGTCGTTATTTTAGATTCATTATTCCATGACTGTAATTCTCCAGATCCAAGTACCACATAAACAAGAGCACCTGAGATGTAAGTAACTGCTAATACCCAAAACACTTTTTGCCACTGACGATAATTAGATTCCTTTAAAGTAGATTAAAAAATATTTTTAATAAGCTTATGTAAAGAAAAAATCATAATTACAAATACTACAACTTATATATATTATATATATCCTATCACCAATATATAAAATTAATTCACTATAATACGTATAGTTATATATATACTACACATTATTATAGTATACTATACCAACCGTAAATTAATAATATACTATATAGAAGCATACTAACTGCTTCTACATTACGAAAATTTAATTATTATTAAACTATATAAAAATAATCATAGAATTAACTGATTTTTCATAATTAAATAAGAATGTACAATTTTTATTTTTTAAAAAGTTGCACTAACAATACTTTCAATTTATATATAAAGTTAATAGGTATTATATTTATTTAAAAGCATCTAAGTATAATTTTCTGCTGTCTGAATAAAAGCTCGTATACTTTTAGGTATACACTAATATTATTTTGAAATAATAAAATATTTTTTATTAAAATAGAAAGAATTTTTTTTTGCATTCTAACACTGTATTATAAAAGTTTTTCTATGAATAATATACACAATTGCATACGAAACCAAACGTTTCCAAAAGAGTATCATATATATCATCTATTTTGTAAAAGAACAAAGAAAACAAAGAGCTGTCTTTTTCGGAGCGACGGAGACTGATTGCAAAAAAATGGTAAATAACAAAATAATAGAAAATTTTTTATTAATAATTGTTTTATTATTAATAATTAATATTATTAATAATATAGATTTATTCAACTTTTGAAATATTTGAAGCATCATAGCTTTCGAGCCCATTTAAGTATTGAGAGGCATCAGATAAAAGTATATTTGGTGGACTAATGTACAAACTAAACTATTTGAATATACTGTTTTTTAGATATTGGAAATTTTTTTTCATTTCTTGAAAAATTATTATTTTATTTATTATTTTATTTATTATTTTATTTATTATTTTATTTATTATTTTATTATTTATTTGAAATTTAAATTATAGAATCCAATTTATAATTTACATTAGTAATTATATTATATTTCAGTAAAGTACTAGTAATTCTTTTTGGGGTCTTTCTACTATAAACCCAAAAAATGAAATTTACAGCAAATAAATGATGTAAGCTAATTTGATATGAGATCTTAAATGATTAAGTTTAAACTAAAATAAAAATACATACTTATTATTATGAAATATTAAATAAATTGGAATAAAAAATATAAAAAAATTTAAGCATGAAGATTTGAAATTAACTTTATAATTATATATAATACATATTACTTACATCTCCTTGCATTAACATTGCCACCATTCCTGATGATAGAAAGCCACCAAGTGAAGAAAATGTATTTGCTAATCCAAAAATAGTTCCACTAAAATTGGGAGCAATATCCAAGCCATTACCTAAGTAGCCAGCTGTAACAGCGCCATGAGTAAAAAGAGCAAATGTAAATATAATGACAGACCATGCAGCATCCCGCCCGAGAAATACTTGGGCAACCATTAGAAATCCTGGCGTTAAAAGTGCTGTAAGATTTTAAATAAAAATTTAATTAATATACTAATTATACGAGTTCACTACATAACATAATATATGTATAAAAAATAATTAATAAGGCAAATTACGATGCTTGTTTGGTATCATTAATGTATATTTAAAAGTTTCAATAATGTTGATTAGTGCCAATAAAAAAAGTATAGAGGTTTTATATACAAATAACATATGTACATACATATTTGTAATTTGCTATTTAAGTTTTGCATAATACACATATAGTTAATTACAGCGAATTTATATATTAACCATGGAATTAAAATTTATTTTCTGGCGATAAATAAATGTAAGTTATATGCATTTGTAATATATCTTCCACTAAGTTACCCCCATAAATCCCTACCCCTGTGAAGACGCTTTTGAAAATTAATGGGCGCACAGTTAACTACATTGCTGAAAAGCTCAGGGTTGTTATATGCAAAAAATTGTAATAAAAATTATTTATTTGCTAAAATAAAAATTTTTCTATTTTTGTATAGAAATTAGAAATATAAAAATGATCTATATATAATTTTTTATTTTTTAAGCATATTTTTTATATATTAACATTTGAAATATTTTTGAAGACTTGAAATTTCACGAATTTAAAAGTTTGATCTTAACTACGATATTATCAAAATAGTATTACTCATTTATTATGTTCCTTATTGACAATGAAAGCTTAATTAATTCTCTTCTTTATATATTATAAAATAAAAGTTTGGGCCTTTTCTAAAATTTCATAACAATATTTTTTTGTAGAATTCAATATTTCTTAACTATTGGTTTTCGTATAATTGAAAAAGCACGCGTTAGATTTTTAAATCACAATTATTTTTTTTAAATCCTATAAATATTACGCATTTTAACTAGTTCATTTTAATAAATAAATCAACACTTTTTATTATAAAAAAAAAAAACATCTCTGCGTTCTCAACAACGTTGTAAAATTCGTTCTCATTAAAACTGGAGGTTTAGAAGGGAAAAATGGCAGATAATACATTTGGCGTTAAGACTCAGATGAACTATAAATGAAATAAATTTGAGTAACTTTATGAAAAATCTGAAGACAAGGGATTTTTACAAATTTTTCAGTCTAGATGATGATAAGCAAATATAAATTATAAGAAAATCAAAAAGATTTATATTCAAGCTTTGGGAACAAAACAATTCTTAAAATGTTCTTGAATGAAGGCACTAAATGTAAAGCAATAAATACCGTTGCTGACCTATTTATTTGATATTATTAACAGACCCTTTTATATATATTGGCACAATTGTTATCAAGTACAATTTAATCCAAAAAGCAATCTCTTTCATGAAAGATACGCAGACGATTCGTAATAACACTCTGCAGATAGTTTCAGACACAAGTCATTAACTTAATATAGCATTTTTTTCAGAAATTCATCTGCAATTTACCATTTAAAATATACTATAAAAAACCGAAAAAGGAAATGAAAAACCCAATAAATAATAAATATATTTATCATTCTAAAATACAAACTAATTGAAAATAATTACTCAATGTGTATGAATTATAGACACTAAAATATTCAAATAATTTGTTTTGCTGATTATATTTTTACATCCTCTGTGGCTTCACACAGACTGATGAATAATTAACTATTTAATAGAAAATAAAGTCGATTCACTGAGTAAATTTACATGAGCTCTATGATTCCATGAAAGGTCGGATCTACATCACGGTAACAGTTGTTCTAACAACCAAACACCATTCCCCAATCTGATTTGAAAACAACAACAACAATAATACTTGCACTATTTTCCAAATATTGATAAGCGGTAAATTTGCATTTAAGAAATTGCCACTTCAATGTGAAATACGTGGGTTTTGCAATATTCATCAATTAATCGTGGTGAAAAAGTTAAATATAAACGTTAAATATGTGGATGTATAGACAAAACAATTGATCTAACATACTTATATTGAGATGTAGTTAGTTTGTAGCTTTATATCGCATACATAGAAATAACAACCTAATAAATACTTCTTATAAATTCTGATCTCATCTAAAAACAAAAAGGTAAACATCATTGATGGAGTTATCCAATTTAATAGGAACAGAAATTATTAAATAAACCACTGTACTAAAGCAGACACACAGTGCAAACCATTACCATAGTCCTTACTTACAGTAGTTCACTAATAAAATTGGTTCATAAGCAACTGAATATAAACTTGACAATTCACAATATCACTACATATTGGATACCCATGCAAATGTTAGAAGATTTTTCAATCTGCAATCGCCTAAAGAAAAATTATACAAATGTAGAACCTAGATTACTGGCTAGCAGAGCATATATTCTTATGAGAAAATTTAACCAGGAATCTACTATTTGAGAAATTTAAAATTAATTTGAACTTAAATTGATGTAGTGAAACTTGAAAATAAAATATTGAAGCTTTTAGCAAAAACTACATAAAAATTGATTTACTTGCATTAGCTTCATCAATGCAATAAATCTATGTCCATTTTTATATGTAACGTAAATTGATTGCAAAATGAATGTCAAGTGTTCCTAAAGTAATTCATTGTCAAACTAATTCTCTGTCATTAGGAAATAGTTACGTATAATAATAATTAATAATTAAAGATAGTCAACCATTTCAATAGTTTAGACAAGTGTAGTTTTATCGCTGTTGAAACTTTAATGGTACAAGCAATTAAAAAACCAGTAAAATCCACTTTACATCAGCTTTTAAACAAAAAAAAATATTTATATAAAATAAAATAAATTTAAACAAACCAAAAGAAGTGAATATTTTTCTTGTCGCCGTTGTTGATAGAATTCTTTTCTTGCGTAAATAATCTGCATAACATGATGAACTGAACGCCATAACATATTTTCCAAGATATGGCAAGGATGAAAATAGACCATTCTACATAACCAAATAAATGAAATAATATATGTATATTAAAATTCTATAATATGTAACATATAACAATATTACCTCTTTAATATCAAATTTAAGAACGGTTTCCATATAGGTGGGCAGTTGATGCACGAGAGTAAAGAAGCCGTACACAGATAGCGCATGCGTGACGATAATTGCCCAAACAGCAGAGGAGCTTAAAAGTTGACCCCAGGGAACTCGACTTGCATGGATTTTAGATGTTGTAGTACCAATAGCTTCTTCAATCTCCCGGCGTTCTTCTGGCGAAATACGTGGATGTGTAGCTGGAGTTTCATATACAAAAGTAAACCAAGCAAAAGACCATAGCAAACCAACAGCACCTTTAAAAAAAATTAAAATAAAATTTAATAGATTAAAAAATTGACAAATTAGTACATAAAAAAATATGTCATACATATTTTATTTTATTTGACCTTCTTTATAATTAATAAAGAATTTATATACAGAAGTTGTCACGATTTTTTCAAAGAATGTGTGCAACATTTTATTATTGGAACGTAATTTACAATCAGTGCTCATTCTTAAGCTTTTGTGAAGAAATATTATTGTGGCAACCATTTAAGAAGTCAAAAATATTTACTGAATAATCCAATTTGGAGTGTAGAGTGCAACAAAAAAGAGAAGTAACAGCCCATTCAAAAGGAAACAAGGAAATAATAACTTGAGAAACGAAAAATATAATATAATACATTAACAATAAATTCACACTAAACAGCAATGCTTATTAAAAATTACAAGATAATAATATGTACAACTGGTTATAAGATCACATTATACATAATCTAATATGTTCTATTATAATAGAAAATTGTAACCACACTATTTTAATAATAGAACAAAAAGATAATGATCCATTGGTATAGCCAGAAATCCACTGGAGGATCTATAACAGGAGGGTCTATAAATAATTTATTAATTGAAATGCTTTTATTTGATAAATAATAAAATAAAAATACAAAAAATATATAAGGAATTCACTTAAAAACTGTGAACATAATTGCAAATAATATATCTTGGAGATGAATACGTCAAGAAAAAGCACAGGACAAAAAGTTGTTTATATAAAAATATTTTAAATATCCACTATTTTCGAATCCTTAACTACAAAAAAATAGACCATTTACACTAAAATCAACAAAATCTTATTTCAATAATTTTCACTTTACATGCATTTCTAAATTTTACTAGTTACAAACCTTAGTGCGCAAATGTTTTCCTCTGATATTCTGGTATTTTAGTGGATAATTGTTCTCTGGAGATAAAGAAGGTCCTTTTTATTTTTCCCGCGAGTGGAAATAAAAATAAATTAATTCAATTCCTCTAAAAGAGTGGCATGTATCATGTAAAAAGATTTGAATTTATTTCTACTTTTACACTAATCGAAATATGAAAATATTATTGTTTATATTATAAATGTACATAACATCTTTGAAATATTAAATCAATATAAATCGAAGAAAATAAATAATATTAATATTATCCATTCAAAAAACACATCAAAAACTTTTAACGCATATCGTAATAATCTTATAACTTTTAACACATGCGAAACAGTCTTTGAAAACGAGGATTTTCAAATATATCTGACGTTCAAAATTTTGACTGTTAAATCTTTATTTTTCGTTAAACGTGTATTCACGTCTTTCAAAGAGAAGAAACATTTACCATTAACAAACCGTTTAAAATAGACTAAACCTATGTGCTACATGTGGTTCTAAGAACGGCCGGAACTATATCCCGAAGCTACTCGTTGATCTAGATGACTGCTGTTCAATACCTCCCAAAGGGATGATACAAGCATACCCCGCGGGTTACAACAACATTTGATCATTGATAAAAATATTATTTAAACATTTTAAATACAATAATAATTTAATAAGACAATTTAAATTATATGATTTATTCAAAAAATATACACGTTTGACTTGATGACGATGGAAAAAAAAAACAAAAAACTATAGCAGTAAGCAAGAATTATAATATTAAAGTGAAACTAAAAAGAACTTATACAATAACGAAGAAAAAATTAAGTACTAAAAAAAATTATATATAAAATGAGCAAGTAAGATTGCAACGTAATGAATATATGTACTTCGTTATAATAAACTGAAATTACATATTACATATCTATAATATATACCTGTTAAATAGAAAACGCTTGACCATCCAGCGACATCCATAAGAAATCCACATATCGGCATGGTAATGGCAGCTCCCAACGATGAAGCTAAAATATAAAGAAAATAATTCAAATATCGACAACTAGCATATAATATGGTCTGTATACATTAATACAAAAAAAAATTTTATATATATTTATATATATGTATATATCTTCAAGTATGTACGTTTTTTTTTAAGTTGTAAATATTTATTAAAAATAAGCGACATGGAAGAGGATAGTGAAAAATCAAATGTCAATTATTCTATAAAAGTTAGAAGGGTTAGAATAAAAATGATAAGACAACAACAAAAATTTTAGTTAATTTAATTAAAATTTAGCTACCATATTTCAACATTCCAAATATTAGGAAATATTTCCAAAGACCACTGATGATGAGTATTTGGCAATACTTAAGACAAATTTCAATAAATTAATTAAAATTTTTGTTGTTATCTTCTCATTTCTATTCGAACCCTTTTAAATTTTAATTAGTTTCTTCTCGTCAAATTAACATTTTCAATTATTCTTTTTAGATTGTTGAATCGATATAATGAAATTGTACTTACTAATAGGACACTATGTGTTATTGTATGACGTGAAATTATAATAATACATGACTTGTGGAAACTTTGCTGCTAACACTATTCTATTAATTTGTCTACCACTTAAGATTAAAAGTTTTTTTTTGTATTATATCTGACAAATAACACTTCCAAGAACTTGTCTTAGTTAAATATCTTTGACGTATGCAAATTTGTTTAACGTATTTTTGTAATTTAGGATTTGTAGACAAGATAATAAATCAGTCATAAAAGCTACTCATACGTTGCAGAATAGTATGCAGAGATCAGCAAAGAGTACAATAAAAATGACTTAAGAAAAAAAAAAGGTGACACATGTCTTTCCAATAAATTCGGTGAAATTTTTAATTTCAAAGTTTTGTTAATTGAACATAAAATCTTAATGACTATTAGCAAATTTTATAATTGTTAAACCAGTTCAATCACAATTATTAGACACAAAACCAGTCGAAAATTTGAAACATTTCAAAGGTCAAACTACATTCAGCGATTAATCAGCAACGTCTGCTAAAAATTTTTAACACTTTTTTTAACGGTAGCTTAAGATAGTCTAAGTTGTTTTCTATAAATAACATATCTTTGCGTGCTTAATTATAACAATAACCATTTAAATGCTAAAATCGCGCATTTAAAACAATTAGAACCCAACTGCTAAATATTTGCATTAATATGATTTACTAATTCTCACAAAATGCTGTCAAAACCAGTGCGCACAATTAACGTGTACACAAGACTATAGAACTTACACTACTTGACTAGATTATAATACAAAGCATGTGAGGAGGATATATCAATATATACATAAATTTTGATCCCTAGTTAGAATCTTTTTCCAGTCTAAAATTTTGATGATATTTTAACATCCCAATTATTTATACATTCTTACATTAAGGATATTTTAACATTGACAATAATTGAGCAGAGGTTTTCTACAGTATATTTGGTGCCACAAACGGCCGAGTCTACGTTTTGGAGCCACTCGTTGGCAGCGACGACCCAGTACCGTTCGACACTTCCCAAAAGGACTTCACAAGCAGGTCCCACCGGGTTACACAACGACAGTATATTTTATAATTTTTTTTACATTATTTAAGAAGAGTTTTAAAAGTTTGGCTATATTTAAATTTCTTATTCTTATTTTCAGTTTAGTGCAGTTAGCTGGACTTTGAATTTTGTTTATTTATATACATATATTTGAGTTAAGTTGAATACTATGCAATTAATGTAAATTTTTTTTAGCAAACGGATAAAAATAATGTCTACTGTTTTTTTAATTAAATTAATAACTGATTGCTTCCACCACGAATAGCTGGCAGTAGTCTCTAATATATTCCTGCAATGTTTGGTTGATCATATTTCCAAAAGTAAATATCGAAATGAACTAAAAAGTAAATTAATTTTAAATATTGACACAGAGATTTTTGGCTTTGTTCATATTACAAATAATAATTTATTAGCGAGCAAATTGGTCATTTAAGCAGAAAAAAAACTATAATTAATTATTAATATTTAAAAACAATTTATATTTTATTAATGTATTTTTCCGATATTTCGACTATTTTCGCTAGTCATCTTCAGGGAAACAAATATTTATAAGGACCAAAATAATATCATAAGGATATAAGGATCAAAAATATCAAATAATTAGAAATGTAATCTCGCAAAGGGCGAAGGTGGTACTGTGACGTTTTCAAAATCCATGTTATTGACTGTTTAGATGAATTATTCTTTGTTATATTTTAGTAACGTAACATTATTTTACTTTTATGGTATCCCAAATAAATAAATTAAAATGTTTTAAATAATTGATTACGTTAATTAACAAAGACCTTAGTTCCTATTTCTTTGTACAATTGGTTCAAAAAATTAGTATTCAATCATTGCATTGCAAATAAAATATTTTTTGTATAGCAACAATTTGTATTAATAATGCTGATAGTGATAGAATTGTAAAAGATAAATTAATAAAGAATTAGTAAAACTAAATTTATCATTATCAGCGTATTTTTAATTTTCTCCACAAATATCATGTGAACATATGTTTTAAATTTTGCGACCCTCTAACCTATTCAGTGATTTGTATTGGCCCGCGATATTATCTGGTCTGGACAGCCCTGATCTAAACATTTATAAAAAGGTAGTTCATAAAATAAAGTGATCTCTAAATTATTACGATCAAAATATATCATTATTTTTATATCTTTAGTTTATGATTCAACAAATCATTTTTCATCTATATTAATTCTAATATTTTTGAATCTATTTAAAATCTATTTAAACATTTTTGCAAATAATTTTTATGTCGAGAAACACTGCTAATTGGAGTGATGTGATTTCTATTGCAGTTTATCAATCGACTATTTTCTGAATTTAGAAAATGTAAATAGACTTTATAATACATATTTAAAGAACATAATTTTTATAATATTATCAAATAAATAAAAATTAATTAGTTGCTACCTATTTTTTTTTTTATATACATTTTAAAATTGTTTTTTGTTTATTTAATTTCAGAAATAACCGGATCCACATCTGCAAAATTTTCTCCACTACGTTACAATTATTGTTGCAGACTTAATCAATGTACCACTTATTTTCAATAGTGAAAAGCTTTACCCTTAACAGATTCTGCTGTGATAACGAAGTGTCTATGAAAAATCTGATCACCAACTGTGATCCATTAGGCCACAGAAGAAACAAAATTTTAAGTGCGTACCACCTAGAGGAAACTTCCTCCGAAGGAGCTGGTTCGATTCCTCGCGATACCGAATATCTAAATATAAAGGGGTGCACAATAGATCAAGCTATTCACAGTGCATAGGGGACTTAGCCTAAGCAAAACTCCCCAATACCATTGACACTTAACCCTGCATCAATCATAAAACATGTTATTTGACGAGAATTTATCTTAACCGGAATAATGCTATATAAATTAGAATTCACAGATTAAGCGTATCAGAAAATGAAATAAAAAACTGTTGAAACCATAAGATCTAAATATTTATCAGTTCGTTTAAAAAATCAGTTGGAAATGATAAGAGAATTTAATCTCTCTATTTATGCTAACATCAGTAGGCAAGATTAAAATCAGTTACATATTATTTAAACATTAAATTTTTATGTGATCAAGTAACAAATTGTTTTACTATCTAAATCAAGATGTACTATTTGAAGTTATAAAGTAAACAGTAGCTTGCTACAATAGTTAATCATTTCCTGAGAAATTAGTAGAAAAAGCTAGTAAAAAATATACAATATAAAAATTCTCACATATGTTAAAAATTTTACAGCAACACAGAGGTACCCCAAGTAATATTAAGGTCCTGATGAATATATATGGTCTCAGTTGTTTATCAAATTATACAGGGTAGCCCAATTAAACTGCAATCAACTTCAAATTGCTGCAACTGTCAAATTATTGACATTACTTGGCCCATATTTCGCATTATGATAGTTTAACTATCATAATATTTAGAAATCTTAATTTTTTTCGAAAGATCAGTATTATGTTAACACTATATTTGAGCACAACCACAAATGGATATTGCCAGAACCCTCGAATACAATTTCTCAAAAAAAATAAACTATGCTTTTATCAAATATAAAACAACCAAGCAACGAATATAGACAAATGAGCTCAAAAAACAGCCTCAAAGCTTCAAAAAGGGTATCATTTTTTTGATGATCCAGAAAAAACTATATTTGATAGAACGAAGGACTTGTTGCGATTGTACAACCTAATAAGAAAAATTCACTAATTGAAAAATTCGTAAACTAATAAAATAATTGAGTTTTGCGACTTTATTTGTGCGATTTTTTTATGCGTTTTTTTTTTGTGCGATTTTTGTTGTGCGATTTTTTTTTGTGTGGTTTATAAAATTGCAACATAATTGACAAAGTTATCAACTACATATGTGAGTGTTATGTGATATATATTTTGTGAAAAATTAAACATTTACAATTGTGCGCAGGTATTCAAATAACATTTTTCTTGTAACAGATCATTAACAATTTGTAACAGTCCATTAAATAAATGACACATTTTTATCTTAAAAGTAGGCATAAAATATAAACAATATAATCTTAGTAAGTTAGAATGTAAGTAAATTTTTTTGTAGAGGTTTTCGAAAAGTAGTAAACTACAACAACAAATTGTATTTTTATATTAATATAATAATTGAATTTTTGGCTGACCATACAGCTGTTTTGAGTATTGCCAAATAACCATTAACAGTGGTCTTGAAAATAATTCTTGTATTAAATTAATCGTAATTATTCGTACCAGGAATCAAACTTGTGTCCTGTAAAATTTGAAGCTCAGAGTCAGCGCTTCTTAACCAACTGACCCCAAGCCGTACTTGACTTTTATGTTCGCACATTTTGTTAATTGGCTGTGAAAGTTTTATGAACAAATTCACTTACTGTGTTAATGTTAGAATGAAATCATAAACCAGCTGTAGAATATTTGAATTAATTTATTAT